GAATGCAATGTTGTTCACACCGCAACATTTCCGACGAATGCTACTCCTGTTTCCTCCTGAAGAAAGCGGAAGGAAATCGATTTGTTCATGTTGCATTAAACAAAGTCATAAATCTTCACTGAGTAGTAGTCTCCAACTGCCAGTTGCCCATCTGCGAGGAATGTGATTCCCACGGGCCGGTGCAGCCCCTCTGCGATGCAGTGGAGAAAGCCACCTTGAGGGTCATAGTGGTGGATATGACCAGTGTAACTGCCATTATGCATTGCAACATAGATGCCTGTGCTATCTGCGCATACACCAGTACAGTATCTAACTACCTCACCATTGATGATAGGTTTGATGGTGAACAGTGTATCACCATTCCAATCAACAACACCGACTAAATGTTTAAAGTCACTGATTACAACTCGATCATTGCTGTCAACAGCCAGAGAACAAGGTTCAATCTTGACTGGGATGGTGCTTCTGAGTTTGCCATCAGCGGGGCTGTGTTCGGTCAGCACCATTCTTTGGATGTCACCTACCACAATGGTCCCATCCGTCTTGACTGCTACACTCTGGAGGTTCACTGCGGTCTTACCGACCTCACTCGGTAGCACTGTGGAGAACTGGAAAGCCAGCGTGTTGTCCTTGTCAAAGACTTTCACGTGGGATGTTTTCTCCTCAACAACCGCTAAGCGATTGCCGGTGCGTGTAGCTGCAATGCCACATGGCCCTGTTTTGAGTTGAAGGACAAAAAGAAAAGCATTAACCAATCACCCACGTTCATGAAGAGTTATAAAGCCAGAGACATAGGATCAAAACTTGTCCTTTCCTCGACAAATAGATCCCAGGAACCTGGAATTACTTATTATGAAACAATCAATATGAAGTTCTTGGAAGAAGAGACAAAAAACGGCTAACGTGTAGCTACGTCCATGCATAGCAAGGGAACAAGGATTCATGTAGAATGTATATTGAAGCCTCCCCCTCCCTGTCTAGCGAGTCCGTGGAATTTGGAATTTTTCCTTCCCTCACGACAACAAGCCCAGCCGGAGTCACTTCTCAACCTTCGTTGTTGCCAGGCTTGCATTAAAATATTCGTAATATTAATACACTAGAATACTCGATCGTGTGGCAACGAACTTTAGGAAAAGAAAGTAAATTTTCCGTCAAAATAAGGAGCAAGAGGGCGTTCTCCTCGTTACCGCTCACTACCTGTGCTGCATAGTATTTGAACATGGACGAATGAACGCTGGCAAATAGATACTTCACAAAAACAGAAATGCACTTTGAGCCTTTACGGGAGGAAACGTTGATCATGAACCATTGTCCAGATGCAACGTGTCCAACGTTTGTTGCAGTGAACTGGAAGCGTATATCTGTTTTNAAATGCAGTGTTATTCACACCGCAACATTTCCGACTAATGCTACTGCTGTTTCCTCCTGAAGAAAGCGGAAGGAAATCGACTTGTTTGTGTTACATTAAACAAAGTCATAAATCTTCACTGAGTACAAATCTGCAACTGCCAGTTGCCCATCTGCTGTGAATGTGATTCCCACGGGCCAGTGCAGACCCTCTGCGATGCAGTGGAGAAAGCCACCTTGAGGGTCATAGTGGTGGATATCACCAGTGTAACTACCATTCTGCATTGCAACATAGATGCCTGTGCTATCTGCGCATACACCAGTACAGTATCTAACTACCTCACCATTGATGATAGGTTTGATGGTGAACAGTGTATCACCATTCCCATCAACAACACCGACTAACTGTTTAAAGTCACTGATTACAACTCGATCATTGCTGTCAACAGCCACATAACGAGGTTTAATCTTGACTGGGATGGTGCTTCTGAGTTTGCCATCAGTGGGGCTGTGTTCGGTCAGCACCATTCTCTTGATATCACCAACCACAATGGTCCCATCCGTCTTGACTGCTACACTCTGGAGGTTCACTGCGGTCTTACCGACCTCACTCGGTGGCACTGTGGAGAACTGGAAAGCCAGCGTGTTGTCCTTGTCAAATACTTTCACGTGGGATGTTTTCTCCTCAACAACCGCTAAGCGATTGCCGGTGCGTGTAGCTGCAATGCCACATGGGCCTGTTTGGAGTTGAAAGACGAAAAGAAAGCATTACCCAATCACCCACGTTCATGAAGAGTTATAAAGCCAGAGACATAGGATCAAAACTTGTCCCTTCCTAGAGAAATAGATCCCAGGAACCTGGAATTATTTATTATGAAGCAATCAATATGAAGTTCTTGGAAGAAGAGACAAAAAACGGCTTAACGTGTAGCTACGTCCATGCATAGCAAGTGAACAAGGATTCATGTAGAATGTATATTGAAGCCTCCCCCTCCCTGTCTAGCGAGGCCGTGGAATTTGGAATTTTTCCTTCCCTCAAGACAATAAGCCCAGCCAAAGCCCCTTCTCAGCATTCGTTGTTGCCAGGCTTGCTTTAAATATTCGTAATATTAATACACTAGAACACTCGATCGTGTGGCAACAAACTTTAGGAAAAGAAAGTAAATTTTCCCTCAAAATAAGGAGCAAGAGGGCGTTCTCCTCGTTACCGCTCACTAACTGTGCTGCATAGTATTTGAACATGGACGAATGAACGCTGGCAAATAGATACTTCACAAAAACAGAGATGTACTTTGAGCCTTTATGGGAGGAAACGTTGATCATGAACCATTGTGCAGATGCAACCTGTCCAACATTTGTTGCAGTGAACTGGAAGCGTATATCTGTTTTGTTGTTATGTGACATATATTTGCCTGAATGTTTAAAAAAAATGTTTGATCCGGATTTGAGGTTCACTGGGTTTGTTTTTAAGAATCCAGGTATTGTACAATTAAGCCGCCGTGTGTTCTTTTGGGGGAAATTCTCTGAATAAAATATGCTGCAATATCTGGAAAAATAAACATGCCAATCATTTTTTTCTCTTGGAGCCTCCTCCGTCTAGGTACCATGTGACTCTGCCAAAAGCCTTTACATTTGTTATGTGGCTTGACACCAGTGGCGTATCCAGCGGTGGCAACTTGCCCCCAACCGACGGGTTGTTTAGACTGTTTGTTTTAGATTACCTCATAGGTGAGTAAGAAGAAAGTAATCAGTGTATTTACAAGTATTTATCAAACATGAACAAACCCTTAGAAAACAACACCACGAAATTGAAGCAAGGGAGTTGGGACTGCGAGTAGGCCTAAGGCTTTCGACATTTTTCTCCCTACCGTCTTGTTGAATAAGCATTTTGCTTTTGAATTTGCCCCCAACACAAAAGTCATTAGGCAGGATACACTATTGTTTGACATCGTAATTCAAAAATAAATCATGAATTTGTTTAAGATAAACAAAGCACCAGCGTATCACTATGAGCAGTTTCTATCCAAACTTACTTTTTTCCATCGGGATTGGGGTTTTCTGGTTACCATCGATGCTGTAGATCACAACTCGGTTTTTGTAGCAGTCAGCCACTGTAATCTCATCAGGCTGACGAGCAGCAATGTCCCAAGCCACATGGCACTCTCCTAGACCGCTTCCCTCACGACCAAACACACATCGCTGCTCCCACTTTCCTTCCGTCACCACCTTGCCCAGACTGATGTCACCTACGCCCTCACACGGCTTGAACTTCAGAAATCCAAGCCTCTTGTCAACTCTGGCAATAGTTTGACCTGCCAACAATTTCAAGTCTTTGTTGATTGTTGCGTAGAGTGAGAGGAACTCACTATTTGCTGCCGTCCTTGTCACCTCTCTTGTTGTCTA